TACACGCAGCTATGAATGGGCAAGCCACGCCTCCAGCTGCTGTAACGTGTGTACATGTGTTATTATCCACAAGAGCTGCCATAATAGAATCTCTATTATGCCGAGAAGCAACAGCAGCAGCAGCAGTGTTGCAGCAGCAACAGCAGCAGCAGTGTCGCAGAAGCAACAGCAGCAGCAGCAGTGTTGCAGCAGCAACAGCAGCAGCAGTGTCGCAGAAGCAGCAGCAACAGCAACAGTGTTGCAGCAGCAACAGCAGCAGCAGTGTCGCAGCAGCAACAGCAGCAGCAGCAGTGTTGCAGCAGCAACAGCAGCAGCAGTGTCGCAGCAGCAGCAGCAGCAGCAGTGTCGCAGCAGCAACAGCAGCAGCAGTGTCGCAGCAGCAACAGCAGCAGCAGCAGCAGTGTCGCAACAGCAACAGCAGCAGCAGCAGCAGTGTCGCAACAGCAGCAGCAGCAGCAGCAGCAGTGTCGCAGCAGCAGCAGTTATAGCAATAACTGTAATTTATCATTGTTTTAATGCCATGCATCATTATTGTAGTTTCTCTTATTAAATAATGAACTGATTAATTTTACAACAAAATGAACTATATAAAAGTTAAATATAAAAAAACGTTTTAGATTTCTTCCTGCGAACATCGAACCCTTCGCTCAAGCCAACTGTAGACAAAGCTGTCCTTCAGAACAATTAGACATAAGAACAGTCGGTCGCCCTGACCCTTTAAGCAATAACAAAATTACATTATTTTACTCCTCATAGAATGGTGATCACTCTACTAACTACTTCTACTGATTGCAAGATTTCGTTGAAGCACATATCTTTCTCCTGACTCCATTACCAGCGTGTGCTGTCCCTGTAACCGTAAATGACAGTGAATCAAAACTCCATTCAACTCAGCTGCACTTATTGAAAGCAAACGGTGCCATTCAAAGCCACGAATCTAACAATACTAAGAAATAAAATATAGGATTATTTTAGTCATGTTTTGCTAGTGTTATCGATCTGTGGGGCTAATTGCCTGCCTGCTGTTGCACGCCATGCCGTTGCATGCTGCCAGCGAAGGGTTCGGACAAAGAAATACTAACAGTAGAAGTTCATAAACACCTCCGCAACATCTCATGATCACACAATCTTGCCGGCTCAATCATAGACTTCGTTGAAACGTGAAAATCATCGATTGAACAATCTTCTTACTTCGAAGCAGAGACTGATTATAGGCACGTTTTTATGTCCATGCGTTCCAAGCGGGTAGGTGCATGTGCGTGTGCATATTGTGGAAGATTATAATAACACCGTTGCAAATAATACAAATGGCCAAAAACTGTCCTTCGACCCTATTTGCAACTGCGCATATTTATTTCAGTTTAAATCTCCTAGTATATAGATACGATAGGACTAGATACGACGCTGACTGCCTGCAGCGAATTGAAATCATACAAGCAAACCCATCTCGACACACCATCCCGGCGGCCGCCCACTGTATAGATAGGTATTCAAATTGTCTTGCTACGACGTCCTCGGCTCTCTCAGTCCGCTATAACCCTCTAGGCATACTGCTACATTTACAAAGACAACGCAAAAAGGCTGTCGAATCTATTCTGTTTAAATAGGAGGTGTAGCTGGGGCGGTTGAAGAGTGGGAGGAGGTGAAACGATCCGATTATGATAATCGCCTCAGTTTGTTGCTAACAAGGGATCAAACAATTTTTAATGCCACAGCTTTGCAAGACAATGCGTTCGACCCGTGCCCCACAAAGGCCAGCGTTAGCTTTCCTTTTTACCATATATAGCTAAAGTATACTCACCGAGCTACAGTTAGCATCGTCTGCACAAATGATTCCGTATGAGGTGGCCGTCTTCACTTTTTCCGCCCTGCCATCCTCTGAGAGCTTCCTCTGCAAGCGAAAACAAAATAGAATGTAGCTGGACCTTGCATATAGCGCACACAAATAAGTGAACACGTGAACGTGATGAATTCTACGCGCACCACAGCGAACAAAGACAAGGCGGCATTGCATTACCGCCAATTCCCTAACAGCAAACGGGGGGGGGGAGAATAAAGAATTCCTTCCTGATTAAAAATCGGCGCCGCCTAGAAATTCTGGTCTCCCAAACAGCGTTGCAGATATAGATTGCAAGCATGTAACACAGCTTACCCACAGAAGTGCATGGGAGACTGCTATGCAGTTGTACATTTGTTGCCATTCAATTCCACAAAGATAAAAAAGGGACTGGTGGGACTTGAGAATCGATATTATTACATGCGTGTTACATGTTTAGTAGTCATTCCATCACTTGACAGATGAAGTGATACGAAAATTCTCAAGGTCATTTCACGAATTTTATCAAGAAATGCTTTTATCTAGACAATACTCTACAGTAACAACGAAAACACAAGTATCTATGAATAACGTCGAGAACACAAACAGAGAAATGAGTGGCTTAATTTGATTTCATAACACTATATGTAGCAGAAACCATCCAAAACAACAAGCACACAAAAATCTCAGCATTATAAAAATCATAAACGCATAGGCATGAAATTGGCACCTAAAAACATGTATAACAAATCAATATAACTTTAAATATAATGTTGATCAATTCTGAAACTTTGTAAGCTCGTTTGGCCAAGTGGGGACATAAAAAACTTGTACGATCACATTTAACATTTAATCACGTAGTGATGTTAGAAAGCATTTGCAGCAGCAACAGCAGCAGCAGCAGTGTTGCAGCAGCAGTGTTGCAGCAGCAACAGCAGTGTTGCAGCAGCAACAGCAGCAGCAGTGTTGCAGCAGCAACAGCAGCAGCAGTGTTACACGGACGCACGCACGCACGCACGGCAACACATACACAACAGATATATGCAACCGCACATGCACCTAGCCCGCTTGAACGCAGACATAAACACGTGCCATAAGTCAGTCTCTGCTTCGAAGTACAGAGATTGTTCATCGATGATTTTCACGTTTCAACAGAAGTCTTGATGAGCCGGCGGCAAGATTGTTGGATCATGAGAATGTTGCCGGAGGACGGTGTTTATGAACTATCTCTGTTAGTATTTCTTCTGTCCGACCTTCGCTGGCAGCATGCAAACGCGCATGGCGCTGCAACAGCAGGAGGCAATTGGCCCCCACAGATCGATAACCACTTAGCAAAACATGACTAAAATCAAATCCTATATTTTATTTCTAGTCATTGTTAAGATTCGTGGGCTTTGATAGGCACCGTTTGCTTTCAATAAGCTGCAGCTGGTTATATGGAGTTATTGATATCACTGTCACTTTACGCCGCTTACAGGGGACAGCCACGCTTGTAATGTGAGTCCAGGAGAAAGGATCATGTGTCTTCAACGAAATCTTTGCCCATCCAGTCAGAAGTAGTTAGTGAGTGATCACCATTCTATGAGGAGTAAGAATAATGTAATTTTGTTATTGCTCTAAAGGGGTCAGGGCGACCGACTGTTCTTATGTCTAATTGCTTTCTGAAGGACAGCTTTGTTCTACAGTTGGCCTTGAGCGAAGGGTTCGATGTCGCAGAAGAATCTAAAACGGTTTTTTTTTATATTAACTCTTTATACTAGTCATTTTGTTGTAAAATTAATCAGCCTTCATTATTTAATACGACGAACTCAATAATTGATGCAGGGGCATTAAAACAATGATAAATTGACAGTATTGCTATAACTGCTGCTTCTGCGACACTCGCTGGTGCGTTAGCTGTTGCTGCTTGTTGCGCACTGTGCTCTGCTGCTGTTGCCTGTTGCGACACTGCTGGCTGCTGCTGCTGTTGCCTGCATGGGCATTGCTGCTGCTGGTTGCGTGCTAGCCAACACTGCTGCTGCTGCGGTGTGCTGCGACACTGCCTGGCTGTCTGTTGCTGCTGCAACACTGGTTGCTGTGCTGCTGCCGACACTTGCCTTGACTGCTGTTAAGCTGCTGCGACCTGCTGCTGTGCTTCTGCCCTGCGACACTGCTGCTGGCCTGTGGCGCCGCAACACTGCCTGCTTGCTGTTGCTGGCTGCCAACACTGCTGTTGCTGCTGCAACACTGCCCTGTTGACCTGTTCGCGTGCCTGCGACACTGACTGTTGCTGCTGCAACACTGACGTGCTGCAACACTGCTGCTGGCTGCTGTGGCTGCTGCAAAGCTTTCTAAATCACTACGTGATTAAATGTTAAATGTGCATCGTACAAGTTTTATTCCCCACTGGCCCAACGACGCTTACAATAGTTTTCAGAAAGTTGAGATCAACGATTATAATTAAACTATCTTATTGATTTGTTATACATTGTTTTTTAGGTGCCAATTTCAATGCCTATGCGTTATATGATTTTATAATGCTGAGATTTTTGCGATGTGCTTGTTATTTTGGATGCGTTTCTGTACATATAGTTTATGAAACAAATTAAGCCACTCATTTCTCTGTTTGTGTTCTCGATCGTTATTCCAAGATACTTGTTGATGTTGTCGTTCGTTTACTGCTGAGAGTCATTGTCGTAGATAAAGCATTTCTGATATGAAATTCGTGATATAACGTGACTCTTGGGAGAATTTCGTATCACTTCATCTGTCAAGTGAGGTATGCATGACTACTAAACATGTATAACACGCATGTTAATAATATCGACTTCTCAAAGTC